TCTATTGTCCTTATCTCTCCTCCTTCTTTTTTATGTTTGTTACTCTCTTGTAACACCTCTAATCTTCTGGCGCTCATATGACCTTATGCAGTTGTGAGCGCCGTAAAACCTCTACTAAATCTAAAAACTCTTTAAAAAAGTTTATAAAAAAATGTCAATAAAAATTGTCCAATGACGGTTCTATCGATTTCATTGGTTTGACGAGTGCCTGATTTCACCACGATGCCTAAATACTAATAATGAATAAATAGTATTATAAATAGTTTTCTACTTTTTAAAAGATCTCTTTTTTTTCACAGACATATTTTTTTCGTAAAAGACCAATACTAGACTGCTGGCCTGGACAACCCCCCCTCCCCCCGTTCTTTTTTGGCTTTGAACTGCCCAAGGGATGTGAGCTGCCTATACCTCAAAGCTGACAATATCTCTGTCCTTCAAGGCCCTGGTATCTTTTAATTTAACAGCTGGGACTCATTGTCATTTAATCCTCTTCCTCCACTGCGAGACTTAAATTTCTATCAAATTTTAGTGTTTCTTGTCTGATGTTTTGTTGTGCTTGAGAATGTTCTCGGAGTGAGTTGGGTTTTTTTTTGTTTGTTATATTTTTTTCATGCTTTTTGGAATTTCAGATTGCAAAACTTCTTGTGAATGATAGTACCATGACATCCAAATTGAGATTTCCACCACCAAAAGGATTTGTCGCTCCTGGATTTGAAGATGTATTAAACACATTTAGGTAAGCTTAGACTCCACAAGTTATTATGTGTCTATATCATATATATATATATATATTTATATAGGAGTGTCTTTTTATTAAGCTTTTGGTTTCAAGTTAGTGGATATTATTGTTTTGTAATACTGATGAACGTTTGCCACCACATTATTTTGAAAATATTCTGTTTAATGTTTATTATTGTCATATTATTTTGATCCTTTCCCTACTCAGAGAAGGCAAGGGGTTTAAAACAGTCCATTGTCCTGCCATTGACTCCCTCGCTGATGATCTTGGGTTCCCCTCAATCTGTATTTTGTAGGTCAGACCTCTCCTTCATTTTTACTGTTTCTTTGTTGGGCTTTTCTTCATGTCGACCTAGTGCAGGGTCTTTCTTCAAAATTCTTATATTAATATTTATCAATTGTCTTTTATGTTGTTAGACTCTTACAAAAATGAGAAATATTTCTTTTTTTTTTTCCTTCAGTTTTTTAAACATGTATTCATGAAGTATGCTTGTTATTTATCAACAGGGACAGTTTTTCCAAGGGCATTGACAAAGGAGCAACTTTTGCAGCTTTTTACAGAGGAAAACCTGTTGTCCACATCTGGGGTGGACTAGCAGATGAGGAGGTGAAACGACCATGGAAGGAACACACCATGGGCTTCTTACATTCTACCACCAAATTTGCAGCTGCTATAACAATAGCTCACATGATTGACAGGTAAGATAATATCATGTGAGGGAATCTCATCGTCAAGAGGTATGGTGTTCGCTGCTCGGTCTAAAGGTCCTGGGATCGAAACCTGCTGTCAATGATTCAAACATTTTCTTCTCAAAATTGTTATCCTTTGTTCTCCATTCTTGTTCCATAGTACTGTTCTGCCATCTACTTTCATCTTCACTTTCTCTCTCCCCACCCCAGCCTCCTCTGTTCTCCTCTCTCCCATACTCCTGACCCTTATTACTACTACTTCTGGCTCCTTCTTACTGCTGTATTTCAGCCACAATCCTGATGTTCGGGTAGGTAAGATCGAACAGCTAGCCTTTTTTGATAAGGGCAAAACATCCCTGAGGTGTTGAATGCAAGTAGATTATGTTCTGGCCTGATTTTGTGAACAACGTAATGAGGGATGCACGCAAAATGTGTCATGATGCAGTGGAATCAGGCGCTTGTCAATTTTGGGGCACATGGAGTTATTGGTATCACCTTAAAGCTTGTTCATTTGCCTTGCTTTTGAAAAAAAAAAAATCCATTTATCTTGGATACAAGTATATATATATATTGGCGATTGAAGGAGGTGGGGGTCACCTGGTTTCAGAGGTAAAATTAGCGAGAAGATGGCCGCCAAGGTTTGGTAACTCCAATTGCTAAAGAGTCTTTGAAAACTGAAAATGGCCTATTTTGTGCCTTGAATCAATGTTTTTCAGTAAAATTGGCATGGAAATGTGGTTTTTAATAGACCTACAACTACAAGAGGTTAAGCCTAGAAGCAAAAATTTGATAAAAATGTCCAAACTGGCGGAGAAATGCCTGTTTCTCTGATTTCGTTATTTTGATGAGCGCTTGATTTCATCACGCTGCCTCACAAATGTTCATTAAAGAACTAAAACTGTTGGAGACCTGGCAAGTCCCAGTGGATGCTCCCATCATCCACTCGGGGGAGTAAAGGTAAATATTTAAAGTAAGGTCAATGCTATTGCCCTTTCTACCTTGAGAGATTGGAGGTCATTTATATATATATATATATATGCTACAGTAAGAACATGTACCTAGTGAATACTCGTAATCACTGAATATTTCAGTGAAAACACGTAATCCCTGTTTCACTCGGAGTTTTCACGTAATCTCTGAAATAATAAGGAATTACGTGAAATCCCTGAAAAATAGTCAAAGTAATTACGTTTAATCCCTGATCAGACATGCAAAAGTTTATTGCTTAAATAGTCAGTTCGCTAACAGATACTCTCTCTCTCTCTCTTTCTTTCTCTCTCTCTCTTTCTTTCTCTCTCTCTCTCTCACACACACACACGCACACACGCACACACACGGGGACACACACACACACACACACAC